ACCTGCCAGCGTACAGGTATTGCAGCACTTAGAAATAGTTTCCCTTTTGTTTCTTCTTCACTTCCACTATTGCCATCTTCTGCCTGCTATTTCTATATGCATAAGACCATCTATATCTCTGTCTCACTATAGCTTTGTGCAACGGCAGAGTTCTCCGAAGAAAACGTCCCCTAGACAATTGTTCTGAGAAAAAGAAAAAAACTGACCTTCTGGGATTCCATTGTTTGCCTCATGACCCTGTGCATGGGTCAAATCTTAGGCCCCTTGGCTCTTCCAGTACTTCATGTTTAGGCCACTTAATTGAGCAGATTGCGTCTTCTTCTATTACATTCAGTCCTCGGTCTTTAGCTCTGCTCAGCTTACAGGCATTATTCGTTCATTTTGCTGAACCTTTTTCTTCCCTTTCGTTTTCAACCTCTGCATTTTACAAAAAAAATAATGTCTCTCTTCTAAGGCAATACTTTGCATTATGCCCGGCTTATTAGAATTTGCGTTCCTGCACTTATAGATGCCTTGTTTCTTTAACAACAAACAGTTGTTCCTTCTAAAAATAATAAAACGGTTTGCTAGGCAACACGAATGCTACCAGCAAATCGTCTCATCCTTTTGTTGGTGTTACAGCCGCTACAAGGAATCTTTCAAACGTTATAAGGTAGACTAAGTGCTTTGGAAAGTTGCCAAGTGGTGTGTTTTAAGCTGATGTGTCGGTTTGTGATTGGTGGAAAAGTTGTAGTTCTCCTCCTCCACGTGGTGGATGGCTGTTTTTTTATGTTGGTTGTGTTTTGACTAAATGAATAGGGTGTGTTTTGACTGCTTGCATGGAACCGAAAAATGGACTCTTGACTAGGAAAATTAAATTGCTTGTATGGAAGACAGCAATGGGTCATAGTGGTCCTAATAATAATAGTTTTCAACCTAAGATGCTGATAATAATGCTATTGTCCTTCCAATTTTACCTAATGTCAGGTTTTTGGTGAGATTAGAGTGTGTATTTGGTCAATGTGACAGCTCATGAGTTACTTATTTACCCTTGCCTTAGATGTTTATTTACATTGTCTTTTTGTGAGTTACCTTAGATTAGTTGTAATTGGGTTATAGATGTTAAAATAATGCTTAGTCACTATGCACTTTTTCAAACAGGCCTCTGTTCTTTGCCTCTGATGGTTTCCAACGTTCTCCTTCCGTACGCCCTTGGAAGCTACTCTATACGGTCTATCCTGCATTCTGCAGCTGCTATCATACTTTGTGGTTGGCTTCCGCATTCGGTCACAATTTTCCCTCTCTCGTTCTGTTGTTTCATTTCATCATCAGCTATAAGGTTGGTTTGCTCATTTTTTCCCTTTACTCGTTCCTCTGTTCTTTTGAATCCTTCGTTTCTATTCGGCAGTTTCAAGATGATTGTCTAGGTCAATTTTTTGCTAATCAATTTATATGTTTTTTTGCTATTCCTGTTTTTGAGCTATGGCAACATTAGCTATTTTAATCACTGACTTTGTTGTTTTTCCTCCCTTTCCCTGCTGATAAATGCTGGTCTACATATGCCTTTGGTTTCCTGGTAAGCTCATTGTTAAAAAAAAAATTTCCCGTCTTTCTGTGTTTCCCTCTCCAATATTTCATCTTTCTATTGTTGTCGTTTTTTCCATCTTTTGCAGCTTTATTCGATATCCGTGTTTTCCGAATTTTGTTGCCGTTTTCGCCCTCTTGGGGAGTCCGCTGTGGAGCTGATCTTCTGCTATGTCTTACGCAAGGAATTTCCTTGCAGGTCAGATGCTTGTTTTGTGGTTTTGTTTGCCTCTTCCTTCCTTGTGCCTGCATTAGTTCATCGCTGTTTTTTCCCTCTTTCCTGGTCATTCCACACTTCAAGTATTTTTCCCAACATGCATGGCTTCTTCACACCTTTTTGCTTTGTTCATCACATTAATTCAAATAGTACTTGCTTCCTGAAAAATTTTAAAAACCCTTTTTAGACCATAGGGAAAAAGACGGCTACAATGACAAAGCAGCACAAATTCTACCATGCAAAAAAGTAACGCCTGTGGCTATCGCTCAGCAGATTTCTACAGCCTATGGAATCCCAAATTCAATAAACAATGCACAAACAAAGGCAAACAGAGGCCAACCTAACTATTACTCTCAAAATTCTTTTTTAAGCATTGCCCGTAGAAAAACGCATGTTGCATTCTTAGCCTTAATCAAACAACCTTTACATGCCAAGAAAAGTAAAAATTAGTCACGTAATACTCTGAACATAGCTTTTCTGTTAATAATTGTGCTATACACTGAAATCTAACTTCTGAGTTTATATGCCACCGCTAATTCAAAAGGCCATTTGCACATTCAACAAAATTGAACTACTGAATTAGTCATACATGCACCAATCGTGTGATACCAAAGTTGCTCTTAATACTTAAACTTCCAATGCTCTGTGAACAGAATAGAACTATTAAAGCTATTTAAGCAAACTTATAACTTACAAATCCAAAGCACAGATTTGCTAATTCAAATCCAGCAGGCACAGCGCTAAGAAAATAAACCAACATCATGTATGCAACCAGGTTCACCACTTAACAATAAGCGATATTGTACAGCCCAATGCTAAACTCAAATACCAAAACCACTAAAACTCCCATAAAAAACATGGACAGAGATAGAGAGAGCGAAGAAAAATATAAAAGTTTTGGGACTTTAGTGATCATTAAACACACACGGTGCTTTAAGCACTATGCAGACGAACAGTAATTCAAATATCAGCATTCTAAGTTTCCGACCGCATCTGGCATGAGATACTTTGTGATGTAGCTTCTAAGTCCGTAGGGAAGGCTCTTTGAATGAAATTATGCTTTCAGCAATATGCGTCCCATACTATTTGAGCATATCAATTCGCGTGTGTTGTGTTCTTTCTTTTGGATTTTGCAATGTTCTTTTATGCTCATTCTTGGTTCTTACAAAGTCATCATATTTGGATTGTTCGGTTCTTTGAATTTTTGATGATTTGGTGAGTATTTTTCTTCGTTACAACCTGGTACTGTAGATGCTGTTCTAGCAAGCTTTTATCGCTTGCTTGTATAATTTCTTATATCCTGTTCTTTATAGCAGCTCATGCATTTTGAGTTTTTTCCTTTGGATTCTACTATGTTCTTTTATACTTATTGTGAGTTCTTACAAAAACGTCATATTTGAATTGTTCCTCCTTAGTTATTTTTTTGAAATGGATAAAAATGTTATGCGCCGGAAGCGTTACATGGAAATATCACCCATTGCCAAGGCTGCACTTTCACGCCGGAGGCGTGAGGCCAGGCTTCTTAAGAAAAAGAATAAATTATCTCACTCTTACCTTCATACAGTGCCATTCGCACATGTTGAAACTGGTGTTTGTTTCTCTGATTCAGCTCCTACTCGTAACAACTCGTTAGCCAGTTGTCATGGTCAGGTTGTCGATAATAGTTCTGCTGCGCTTTAAGAATCGTTGAACTATATGTCTGCCGCTATGCCTGCCTCGCTCTGTCTATCTAGTGGAGCTTGTTCCTCTCCTATTGTCCCGCATTTAGTGCAATATAGTTTGGATCGTGAGGGTATATATACCATAGCACTATTTTAGCTGCCTGCCCCAAAGCCATTTATAGTTATTTCATTGTTCTCCCCATGTCTGCATCTTGGCCTTCATTTTCTGTGTGCTCCTCTGATGCAAGCTAGGTCATCAATTTGTACCTTTGCTGTCCCTCTCCTGAATCGTATAGGGCTCTCTCTCTCCCCCTAGCTTTCGGCTACTGTTCAACCTTGTTGTCCCATTCATGAAAATGACTTATCTAAAGCATTGGATCATCCTCCAGATAACATTGTTATAGCCTCGAGTCAGAAACAGCAAACTTCTGATGCTCTGAGTAAAAATGCACATAATAACTCTACATCTGTTAACAACTTAATCGTTGAAATTCTAAACCCCCTCGATGTAGCTTCTTCAGATCACTTCTCCAGAAGCTGTGTTTCTCCTTCTGCTGCATTAAATCTCCCATCTAAAAGTACCTGCCAGCGTACAGGTATTGCAGCACTTAGAAATAGTTTCCCTTGTGTTTCTTCTTCACTTCCACTATTGCCATCTTCTGTCTGCTATTTCTATATGCATAACACCATCTATATCTCTGTCTCGCTATAGCTTCATGCAGCAGCAGAGTTCCCCGTAGAAAACGTCCCCCAGACAATTGTTCTGAGAAAAAGAAAAAAATTGACCTTCTGGAATCCCATTGTTTGCCTCATGACTCTATGCATGGGTCAAATCTTAAGCCTCTTGGCTCTTCCAGTACTTCATGCTTAGGCCACTTAATTGAGCAGGTTGCTTCTTCTTCTATTTCATTCAGTCCTCGGTCTTTTAGCTTTGTTCAGCCTATAGGTATTACTCGTTCTTTTTGCTGATCATTTTTCTTCCCTTTCGTTTTCAACCTCTGCCTTTTACAAAAAAAAAAAAAAAAAAAAAAAAACAATGTCTCTCTTCTAAGGCAATACTTTGCATTATGCCCGGCTTATTAGAATTTGCGTTCCTGCATTTATAGATGCCCTGTTTCTTTAAGAACAAACAGTTGTTCCTTCTAAAAATAATATAACGGTTTGCCAGGCAACACGAATGCTACCAACAAATCGTCTCATCCTCATGTTGGTGTTACAGTCGCTACAAGGAATCTTTCAAACGTTATATTGACAACAAGGAGGCAATTAGGTTGCCCTTTCTTTGTTTGTCATATTTGTGACCTTTCCCTCTCATATTCCCTTCATTCTGTGCTTCTTTCAGATTTCCTTGCGAACATCATTCCCATTATATAGCTTAAACTGCAGGGACACTTACTAAATGCTGTCGCTCAAAAAATTCTAGGATTGATGAAATTGCTAAAGAATTTTTGTTGCTCCCTGATGCTCCTGATTGTCAGTATTGTGGAGCTAAAAGATTCTATTTGGAACCCCCTAGCTTTTGCTGCCCCTAAGGAGAAATTTTTATTGTTGCTCCTCCGATGCCTTATGCTCTAAAGCGTCTATTCATTGGAAATAATGAAGAATGTGAGCATTTTAGGAAATTATCTCGTACCTATAACAATAACATATCTTTCACTTTATTTGCTGCAAAGTATGATCCAAAATTGACAAGGAATACAAGGGGAGTATATACCTTTCATGTCCAGAGGCAGGTTTATCATTTTCTGAATAGTTTATCACAGTCTGATGATAGACCCTGTGGAATCCACCTCTACTTTTTTGATATCGATGAAGAGTTAATCAGGCGAGTCGCTGCTTCGGACAAGCTTCGCGAGAGCACTTTGAAGCTTTTGATGGACATACTTTCTAATAATCCTTATGCTAGATTCTTTAAGGACCTAAGCGATGTCCCGGATCTTGAAAAGCATAGTGTTGTCCTTAACTGCTTTCCTGGCCTTGACCAGTGCATTTATAATCTTCCTTCTGCTTCTCAAGTCGCTGCTATATGGACTGAAAATGATGATGAATCATTCGATAAACAACCGCATATTCTCGTATATAGCTGGTCCAGCATTATTATGCTTGTTGTGATCCTTTACAATATCCTCTCTTATTTCCTCGTGGTGAATCTAGATGGCACCATGGAATTAAGCGAGCCTATAAAAGAAAATGAACTGATCATTCCTTTGATGAAGAGGTTATCATTGATCCCTCTTCTGTCCATGAACCATCTGAACTTATGGATTTAGAAAAAAGAGGCAAGTATATCTCCTACGTTTATAGTTTTTCAGCTTACCGGTTACGAAATAAACTTCTATTTACGTGTAGATTTTTTTCATTTCCTATAGCTGCTGATCATGGAAAGAAGGATGAGTATACTGTATCGGCTAGAGAGTATTACTGCTATAGGTTCCAGATCAGGAAGAATGACGAATCCATGCTATTGCATACTCTTAGATTGCTGCAGCAATTTTCAGTTGATTCCTGTGTAAAAATTGAAATATCACACCTGGATTTTCAGCGCAAGAGGCAAAATGATATTCGGACAGAAATCCTTGAAGGAGTGCTAGATAGTGTTTCCATTGGTCAGAGTGAAGGCTCAAAAGTTGGTCGAAGGGTGATATTACTGGCTTCTTTTATCGGTGGCCCAAGAGATATGAGGCGACGATATCTTGATACAATGGCATTGGTACAAAAATATGGAAAGCCGGATATTTTTCTGACCATGACATGTAATCCGATGTGGAAAGAAATTCAAGATAATCTGCAATTTAAAGAAAAACCTCAGGATAGGCCAGATCTTTTGTCTAAAGTGTTTAGAGCAAAATTTGAAATGCTTAAAGCTGAACTTTTAGACAAGAAAATTTTTGGAGAAGCCGCTGCATGCGCTTATGTTATTGAATTCTAAAAACGGGGCTTTCCACATGCTCACTTATTATTAATCTTGAAGCCACAATTTAAATTGCTTAATCCTGGGTCATACGATAGAATAGTTTCTGCTAAGCTTCCTAATCCTAAGTAGTTCCCTCATTTGTATTCTCTTGTTCTTAAGCACATGGTTCATGGACCTTGCGGACACGTGGGCAACAATAGCCCTTGTATGAAAGATGGTAGCTGTAAAAATCATTATCCAAAAAACTTCTGTGAACATACAACTCATGCCGAAGACAGCTATCCATACTATAGGCGAAAGAACGATGGCAGCAAAATAACTATTCGCAGGTTTGAGCTTGACAATAGATGGATCATTCCTTATAACCCATCATATCTTTTAGCCTTGTTTGATTGCTACATGAATGTGGAAATCTGTTCTACTTTGAAGCTGGTTAAATATTTGTACAAGTACATCTTCAAAGGATACGATCTTATCAGCGTAAAAATTATATCTGACGATTCCCGTGCCGATGTCCATGAGATTAGAGAATTCCAGCAGGGAAGATGGATTTCGCCCCCCGAGGCTTTTTGGCGCATCTTTGAATTTAGGCTAAACGAGATGACTCCAGCTGTCTATACTCTACAAGTTCACCTACCTGGCCAGCAACTCATCACTTTCAACAAGAACTCGGACCTTTTACAACTAATGAGGAAAAGTGACTTCTCAAAAACTATGTTGACCGAGTTCTTCAAAATGAACAAAACGAATGAAAAGACTGAAACCTTGAAGTGCTTTTATAGAGAATTTCTAGAGCATTTTGTTTGGTCTTTTAAATATAAAGCTTGGACTGAGAGAAAGCGTAAGAAAGTCATTGGAAGCCTGGTGACAGTCAGCCCTCATGAAGGTGAGAGATACTACCTTAGACCACTGCTCACTCATGTTCGAGCACCTATGTCGTTTGACGACCTCTTAACTATTAATGGCCAAAAAATGGATTGCTTTAGAGATGTTGCTTTGGCCCTTGGGCTTTTACAGTCCGATACATATCTGCAAGAGACTCTTGAAGAAGCAGTTCTTTTCCAAATGCCACCATCTTTGAGACTGTTATTTGCTACTATTCTTGTTCATTGTTCTCCGACAGATCCTCGGTTTCTTTGGAACAAATTTTAGCTAGAACTCTCTGCAGATTACCACCGATCTCACCACCTCCGTTTTTATACGACTGAAGAAATTAGAAATAAGGCCCTGCAGGAAATTAAAAAAATGGTCGAACAAATGGGTAAAAGTTTTGCTGACTACCATCTAACTGCAGACATTCCATCACCTGTTCACTGTGATAAGCTAACAAAGGAGATTGAATGTGAGAGAAGTATTGAAGTTCTAGCAGAGGATCTAATAATGTCTTCGAGGTTAAATATTGAACAACGGCACGCCTATGATTTAATTCTGCAGTCAGTTTTCTTTCCCCTTGGCCAAAGGTTTTTTGTTGATGGCCCTGGGGGAACTGGTAAAACTTTCTTATATAGGTCCCTTTTAGCTACTTTGAGATCCCAAGGCTACATTGCTATTGCAGTTGCAACGTCGGGTGTCGCAGCCTCTATTCTTCCAGGAGGAAGAACGGTCCACTCTAGATTCAAGATGCCACTAGATTTTTCTAGAAATAAAACTTGCCAGATTAATAAATAGGGCAGTGCTGCGAGATTGCTTTTTGAATCAAGGTTAATCTTGTGGGACGAGGCTTCAATGGCAAAGTGAGAAATTGTTGAAGCCTTTGATGGTTTGCTTAGGGATATAATGGACTGTGACCTTCCATTTGGAGGAAAAGTAGCTGTTTTCGATGGCGACTTCCATTAAACTTTGCCGATTATCAAACAGGCAACAAAATAGGCTCTTATCGAGTCCAGTCTTCCTAACTCTCCTTTGTGGCCTAAGCTCCAGAAGCTCCATTTGACACAGAATATGTGAGCCATCTTAGATCCAGCGTTCTCAGAATTCTTATTAAGAATAGGAGAAGGAAGAGAGCCTGTTGATAGACATGGCGAAATAACTTTTTCTTCTGAGATGGTCATTCCTTATACTGAAAAAGAGGAATCTTTGAACAGGTTAAAGAATTTGTCCTTTCGAATGCTACTTTTATCAAGCCTTTCTTCTGTACTTCAACATTTATATATTCTCACTTAGATTTCTTACGAACAGGTTGCTCGAATCTGTTTTTCCAGATTTAATAGCCTATTTAAAAGATCCTTATAGTATGATCAATAGATGTGTCCTTGCTCCAAAAAATACCTCAGTTGATGAAATAAATGACATGCTAATCAGAAGATTTCCTAGAAATCTTCATGTGTATGTCAGTTCTGATAGAACTGTTGATCCACGCCATCAAGGAGACTATGAAGATTTCTTGAATTCTCAAAATCCAAAAAGCCTTCCTCCTCACAAACTGTTGCTCAAAGAAAATTGTCCAATCATGCTTATGAGAAACCTCAACCCTACTGAAGGATTATGCAATGGTACACGACTCATTTGCAGAGAGCTAAGACAGAATACTATCTGTGCAGAGATAGCTTTTGGCCATCATCAAGGGAAAAGAATCTTTCTTCCTAAAATTCCTATGCAAGTATCTGATAATGACAAGAATGGCCTGCCATTTATAAGGGCACAATTTCCTTTTCGTGTTTGTTTTGCCTTGACAATAAACAAATCCCAAGGCCAAACACTAGATTATGTTGGAATCAACCTCCGTGAGCCAGTTTTTTCTCACGAGCAACTATATGTTACTTTATCTAGAGTTAAAACTTCTACAGCACTTAAAGTCCTTATCCTGCTTGAACTTTTGATGGCATAAAAACTGATTGCAAGACTAGAAATGTTGTCTTTGAAGAAATACTTCGCCTCACTGAATGATATTTCTACATGTTAGAGTTATTTATATTTAAGGTTTGTTGGCCATAATTATTATTCTGTTGTTATGATGCCTGCAATACCATTCTTAATTTATACTAACATTCGATAGATTTTTCCTTGATTCTTTTCCATGTAGCATGGACAAGCTCTTATCCATAAAAGAAATTATACCTGATATGCACTACTGGGCATGCAAAGTTATTGTTCAAGAAAAACAACAGGTTACCCAATCACTGTCGACACCGACAAAGAAACAAAAGTTTGTTTTTGTTGATGAAGCGGTAGATAAGTACAGCCTCTGCATTTAATCTTTGTTTATTTTTTGTTCATACAGAGGTAGATAAATACAACCGCTGCATTCAATCTTTCTGTTTATATTACGTTCATATTCACAACTGATTGATTCTGAAACATTTTCCCTTATGAAATAGGGATCAAAGGTTGAAGGCATTATTTTCAACCATGATATTCCTAGGGTCGGACCAATCTTGCAGGTCTACAAAAAGTATAGAATTTCAAATGCTGTGGTTAGACCAATCTACCCAAAATATTAGATGGCTGAACTGAAAGTACAATGGATGATCACAAGTAAAACCGTTATTGAATAGGATCCTGATGACGAAGATATAATGTTTGTCAAATTTAACTACACTCAATTCAGAGACTTGGCATAGTTCATGGATCATAGGGATAAATCTGTCGGTATGTATGTTGTGTGTTACACACATATCATGAATTTCAACTTAGAAAAACTTTTACAAGATCATTTTCCTTTGCCAGATGTCCTTGGAATAGTTGTTGAGGCACAAGACAGAAGAATCATTAATAAAGATTTCAAAGAATCTGTTGTCCAAAAATTCGTCCTCAGTTTCTTTCTGCTGCTCTCCAAACTCTTACTTAGTTCTCTTCTCATTTTCTGTATATCCTTTGTATGTCTTGACAACTGCTTATTGCCATCTTGTTAGATCACAAGCTATCATACTTTCGATGTGGGATGATTTCATCAGGAATGAAGGATAGCAAATAATAACTGAAATACACAACTACCCTGTCATCATATGTCGCAGGTTGAAAGTTAGCAACTATAACGGTAATTCTACATCTATACATCTTTATTTTAATTTCCATTTCCATACAAAATTCATACACTGCACTTGCCAATGTATTGTCATTCTTAATCCTATAGGAGTTACACTGTCAACGTGGTTTGATTCTGCGATCCTCGTTGACCCTCCTGTACAACAAGCAATAGAATTAAAGAACTGGTGCTGATTGATTATTTATATCACAAAAGCAATCAATCAGCTATGATCACTTCCTTCCATTACTTTTTTCTATTTCCTCTATCACAGGGCGATGAGAAATGCCAAGCTACTTGCAACAATCGTTGATCAAAAAAGCTATATTAAGTATAACCCTAACATATCTGTGAAATCAGATCAGAAAACGACTTTAATTTCAAATGTCAGACCATCACAAAAGGTTCTGCTTTTTCACCTATTCTGTCATTTAACTATCGATTTGCATATTAATATATGGGTTAACACTATGCCTTTCATTGCTGTGTTTTTAGAATGTATGGGTTAAAGCAAGGTTCTCTTTTCAGCACATATTCCAGAAATACTGGTATATGAGCTATAAAAATGCTGCCGGGGCACTATTGCTGCAGATGGAGTTATTTTTATGTGCAACACATGCACAGAAAAGCATCCTGCTCAGCCTAGGTAGTAACTTTGAAAATCATTAACGTATCAGTTATGCTCGTCCATTATTTAACTCTTCTTTAATAGACATGCCTCCCTGAAATTTACATACATCTATAGGTGTCGCTTTGATATGGATTTATGTGATGATTCTGGTACGATCACAGCTTCTATCTTTGGAGAACAAGTCGAAAAATTGCTAACCTTCATTGCTTTTGAAATAATGGACCATTTTAAGCAGGCCTGTTGTCCTTTCAAATAGTGACTGGCACTTTATTATTATTTCCATTTAATCCTTAATGCAGCAGACGTCTCCATTCTGCATATAATCCTTATCTGTTTACTTATTTTTCTCCTCTACGTTTTCCTTCCATAGAACATTGAACTCCCTCTGGAGGCTGTCCATAAGGAGCTGGAGTCAAAGTGGTTTCTGGTACATATAAAACCAGTGCAGACTCAAATGGCTGATGCAAAGCAACGCTATACAATTATCTACTATTCTGAAGTTCTCAATGCTGATCTTGTTCAATCGCCGACTGAATCCAAGAATGTGACAGGTGCCGAACCTGTGCAATAATAATAAATAAAACCTAACTACCACCTAAAGCAGTCAATAATCAATTCGAGTACTGGAGCAGGGACTCTAGGTGTGCAATGAGTTACTTGATTCACCCTGTTTCCGAAGAGTTTGCTTAATCCGATATACCTGAATTAATTATTTAACCGAATTCACTAACTAGTAGACAGTGGTAAGTAGGGTCGTCTCCTCAGGGACTGGAGAGAAATTTATTCCTTTTCGAATCAAGACAAATGGGGGTTTTCACGATTAAATGCTAAAAATAAATTAACTGCAGAAAATAATTAATTTAAAGAAATAATAAAGAGAAACTCTAGCCAAGGGTACACTTCAGAAATGGTTCATGCAACTGATCATCGATTCAAAGGTGATTCCAACATTTATTAATAGATTGGTTATAGTTGTCTCGCACGCGCTAAACAACCAACCCTTCCTTAATTTATCGATAGCTAAGGTACGACCGTTAGCTATTTCTCTAACCCAAAAACAACGCTAGGTACGACCGTAGGATTTAATTTCTAGATTGCATTATTAATTAGAAAGGCCCAATCCTAACTAACAAACACGCTACGAGGGTTTATTTAAACTAGATCATATGTCCCCCTGACATAAATCCAATTACGCCAGTTGCTACAAAGACAGAGATAACGAACAATTACGGATTCAATTACCTCTATTTAGCAAAATAGCCTATATGAATAATTAATCATTGCGCACTAACCAATCATACACAAGGCTATAGCAATTAAAAGCAGGGAACATATAAATATCAATAAATGAGGGAGCAATTAAAATAAATTAGATCTCACAGTAATAATTGAACCAAGTCGTCCGTTGTTCCTTGACTAGAAGAAGAAATTTAGCTACATATCATGATCTCAGGCATCACAATTGGGTCTAGGGAAAATCCCATTGCCACGAACGAAAAGCTAACGAGAATTGCACCAGAAATTGTATTCCGTGGTGAGAAAGAGAAAAAGAAGCAAAAAAAGAGAAAAATTTCCTAAGCTAGAACTTGTTTCTGCCGAGAGAGAGAGCTCCCCAGAAGCCAGCGAAGGGATTGTATTTAAAGAGTCCTCGTGCGGCTGTCTCCAAAAGAGACCCAGTAGTCTTCCTGCTTTTGTGGGTCAGCACTTTTAGTCAAAGAAGGAACCCAATCAATTGAAATCCAACTGAAGTCTTGTTGCCAAATGACTCTTCACGTGCAAATTGGCTAAGTCAACATTGTTCCAGAATTGTCACTCGCGAAGGAATCTCCAAATACTTGGAAGTTTGCATGTGGCCAACAATCCCGCAAATCCGGCTTTGGACATCATACTTAGGCGTGGGCACGCCAAACTGGGAGTCTGCTGGAATGACGATTTTCAGTACTTTTTCTTCACCACTTCCTGCAATTAATCCCAAATACCAAATATAAATAGAATATATCAATTAAGATAATATTTGACTAAAATCAAAGGGAAAAATAATTATAAATTTAGCACAAATTATGACTTATCAGAATGCTACTTTATTAATTGACCTACAGGCTGACACTGCTGACACCATCACTTCAGGTATAAGGAGTTGAACCGTTACCTTATACATCACCTTTGTTGTTAACACAGGCTTTATTTTCTTCGCAATCCAAAAAATTATAGCTCATAAACATCAATTCAAAAACTCCTTTGTCCTTCTGCCTCTACTAGACAATTGAATAGATATTTATCTATGATTGTTAGATATAGCCTATATAAATAGCCATTACTATTTTGCCTTTATTAACAAAATTCATTTTGCTATAGTTACTGCACCTGTTAAAGAAACCAAGCCAGCTTTGAAGGCTAGACAATGTCTAACTGAAAAATTTGATGTCTTAGCTGATGGAAGCAATAACACTTCCCAGACTGTCACTGAAGGCTCCAAGAAGAAGGTGAAGCTCATTTAGACTGCTGTCATTTCCTTTTTGTGTAAATAACCCCAAATACCAAGCAATACTGTTTGTTGCTATCAATTAGTTTTTGTTCATCACATTATTCTGCTCGAGAAACCATGCTACCTATGCCTGACCCCCTTCTTTTGAGCTTTATTTTATTTAGTACTTTATTTCCCTAAGGGAACTATGCTGCCAGTGCTTGATTGCTTTTGTTGGAACTTGCAGCTAAAATTAAAAAACTTTTGTGTCTTGTTCTATTGCTCTTTTGACTAGACATTTTACTTCCATTTACCTTTTCCCAGCTATTCAATCGTTATATTTCTATGAGATGCTCGTTACCCTCCAGTTACACCAGAACGCTTTGGTCATAATTTTACTCTAAAGCTATCGACTTCTGCATTAATTATTCAATGTACATAACAGATATAGTATCAATTACAATATATTTGTTTTGCTGCAATAAACAGGCATCACTCAGTAGTATAAATATATCAATCTGTTCCGTTTTCCATTCATTGTTTGTATCTGCATGCCTTTGCTTTCTTAACTTAACACATCAAGCAGCAGATTTGCTCCTCACTACACCAACAGGTTTTTGCTGCTAATCTCTTTCAGTATGCGTTCATAACTCAAACTTATGCACCTACACTCACCAACTGCACGCATATTTATTACTTTTACTTCCCTAACTCTATGCAGCGCTCTATTATAAACAATATCTTGTCCATTTACCTTAACAGCTTCATGGCCGAAACATCTATCGTTTTTGTGGATTGCTCTCACATCACAAGCAATGCTCCACAAACATATTGCTTTCTTATTAGGTGCAAAAACAGAGGACAAGTAATAATATTTTCCTCCACTGTAATAGCTTTTTTATGGTTTACTCTTGCATTTGCGTTTAAACATGAGCTCCCTTTTTATGCACCATGCAGCCTTTGCCTCATGAATTTCAAATATTGCTCAGCCAACACGATGACACTACAATCACCTTCAGGCATGGATTGCAGCGATGGACAGTCTTAGTCAGAAATAACTGCTTTGAAGAAGGATGGGTAGAATGTTGTCACGAAAACATGATCAGAGAACATCATATGCTGTTGCTTCAGCATGCTGGAGATCTAATTTTTGATATGATTCAATTCTGTGAGCTAAAAAAGCAAGTCTATCTCCGATTGACAGTTTCCCTACCCAATCTTTTGCATCAGCAAAGCAATATAGGTTCACACGTTATGTTTGCCTTTCTAATTTAAAAGTCTATATATACCAGTTACTGCATCTTACAATATCATTCTTTCATCTTGGCAGATCCTACATTTTTATCACTTCACCAACAAATTGTTTCCTCATCGCTAAGCCTGGATTTCTCTCAAGATTTGTCGAATTCGATCTGCTTTTATCAAACGTTTGATTCGGCATATCCCGGTTCCTTGGTAATCATCTGTTCTGCCCACCGTTTTTAGACAGGTTTCATCCGGTAGAATAATTTACCCTCCTTTACAAACTAACTTACATTCTCTTATTTCCAGAAACTCCCTCGGTTTGTTGATCACTTTTTAAATGGTGAGAGAACCGACTATAGTTCTAAAAACTGGCCACAACATCACTGAAGTTGGAATAAAGCGCAACCACCTCAAACGAAATTGGAGAAAGTTTGTTCTGGACCATCATCTGCAACATAATGACACACTTGTCTTCATTCGAGAGTCACAGACAAGCTTTGCTGTTTTAATCTTTAATAGTGATAGAATTGAGAAAATTTTCCCCTGATACAATACCTTCCTGCTGGATTTTTATGGTGGCCGAATATCTACTCACATATGTACTACTCCATTAAATATATAATCAGCTTATTGGTAGCGTGCTTCTTGACAACAAAACTACTGTTGCTCATTGTGACTAGCATGCATATCCAACAATTTATTCTGCCCAGGAATATATTCCCCTACTGCTAAAGCTTATCAGATTCCTGACAATGCAATGCCTTATCTCAACCAAACATCACACATGACCCAACACTGATCAGCCAAGTTTTTCTTTTCTGCCTGAAATATTCCTTCACTGTACATTACATTTGCAATACTTATTTCTATGTTTCAGTACAACTTCATCAATTCAAACGAGCTCCCTTCTTTTAATTAATTTAAATTATGGTTTTTACTAATACGCTATGACAAATATTACAAATTCTCCACTTGATATATACAATTATGGCCCCTGCTTAGTGTTCCTTTTCATATAGTTTAGCATTGGCATCCACAACCATCTTACGTTGCACCAAATTATTTTAGATCAAAAGTTCAAAGCTAGTAGTAGACAATATCCCACCTCCCTGCATTATAATGCTAGATTTCCAGCTTCGTGCCTGACAATCTGCTTACTTGTTCTCTTTTCAATAGGTCCCTCAACTTATTACTCGAATTTTTATTACCTACCATACTACAAATCATTTACCCTTTCTCTGCTTGATATTTATGACCTGCTACCAATAAAGTAAACTTAGTCTCTTCTCCAAATAGCCACCACGCTCAGTCATCTCTTCAAATTACATCCTGTTACAAAATACCCCAAAAATGAAACTTGCTAGCATGCCTTTGTCTGCTGTTCACCCATCCTTGAAAGACTGGGGAGTTATTGTCCAGGCAATTGAAGCAACTCATATGAAGTATTGCTCAATCCTTCACCAACATTATCAAACATTTGTGCTTGCTGACACAGAGGTGATATATATCTAAGTCTTCCTTTTCCCTTCCAATCATAAAATTAAATTCTATTGCAGTTTAATACTTGCTAATCACAGGGTACTACAGTCGAAATGCATGTTGCTCAAAACATTCTCGATCAAAAACCACAATTACTTGTACCGTTTAAAAGATACTACATCTCTAAAGCTTTTATTTCTCTGCCAAATGCTCATACTGCTATCAGCGAATATCCATTTCATTTTGTTGCTACTGAAGATACTTTATTTGAAGAAATTCAAGAGCCTGGTCAGCCTTCTCTTCCTCTTCATTTCCAGCTACATTCTTTCTCTGCTTTAGCCGTAATTGCAGACATTGATGAGCTTAAAAGTAAGTTAATGCTCATACCATGCAATATCTTTTCCAACTGGCAAGAAATCCCTAGCATGCTGATTTTTTTTTTTTTTAAACTTCCTTAGATGTCATGGCAATTGTGCTACATGATTTACCTGTCAAAAATATCACTTCTCAGGGGAAAACATCCATTGCTCGAGACTATGTCATTGCCGATCAAGAGTAATAATCTTACCTGCTAATTCATTTAGTTCTTCCGTGCACCATATATCCAAATAAACACTTCGGACAAATATTTATTCTTCCTGTTTTGCTAGCATGAGACCATTCATCCTAACTTTGAAGAATGACTTCGAAGAAATCAACGGTCTTGCAATTGTAGCTGTTCAGAACCATTTTCCTGTCATCATTGCCATAAGAATGAAAGTCACAACATAGAACTGTAACCAAATACCTACTATTTATTATTTAAAAAACAGTTAGGCATTTATTAGCTGAAAGTCTTCTTCACTCTTCTTATAGTTGATGTTTTCTTCTTTTTCCCCCCTTAAATCCCAGATCTCAGTCTTTCAACTCAGGATTCGACCACAATTTTGATAGCTCCAATCGTGCAACAAGCAACCGATCTGCATCACTGGTCAGACAACTGACTGCACGCTCTCCATTCCATCATTCCAGTTATTCTCTTCCAGCTTAACTTTTCCTTTCTTATTTTAGGTATCGTCACAACACACCTCAGCTAGCACAGATGGTCCATGAGCACAGTTATGCTAATCCGCACATCCTTCTTCCTCCCCCTCATTACAGTCAATCCATGACATAGCCGCTCTGCTTCACTTCATAAAATTCTTATACTACTGACCAATTTCACATCTAAACTTCTTTATTATATTTCCTGTTGCCATTTCCCACTTTCTTCTTCTATTACTTTTATTTTATAGAAACCAAAGACCGCATGGATTAGAGGTGTCGTCGAACTTGATTGTAAGCCTCAAGAATTAACCTACATAGCTTGTCCCAATTGTTATCATCCAGATAGCTGTATAGATGAATGGGAAATTATCTGCAAATACTGCCAAGCTAATGTTGATCTCCAACCCAGGTGCGTCTACTTATAAATAATGTACACTGTTTTTATTAATCAATCTAAACCTCCACTATCAAATCATTAGCTTATTAATTCCAGGGCTTGTACTTCAATTTGGATCACGGATTCAACTGGCACTCTATGTCTTACTGCTATGGCCTCTGAAGCCGAAAAGCTAGCTCAATTCTCAACTGCTGAGCTATACTATTTGCAAACAGAGGTAATTATCAATTTTCTTTTATACACCACTTGTTTAACTCTCTTTTTCCCAACAACTTAGGTTCCTTTCTTACTTTATTCGCACCAGAACATAAATATAGCTCAACATCTTCAAGCAATTCTCCACGGAAAATCCTTACATGCTACGTCAAGCCCTCTACTTCAAAGTTCAGAATGCTACGGCGCTCAGCTTATGAAATAATCACTTCCTACACTTTAGATGAAGTTCACAACATTGACAACCTCAACAACAATAATCTCAACATTAATGACTGAAGAGCTGCTTCTTTTGTTTGTTAAATCATGCCTTTTCCAATCAACAAACTATGCTCATTACTTGTGATGTTTTTTTACTTATATGTTAACTATACTGTTTGTTACCATTTCAAATTTTGTCGATTTCTACATTCCAATTCCTTATTACTTTACTTAGCAGCACTGGGCATGCCAATATTTACGCGCGGTGTACACCTCCTAGTCGATTTCTAAGTGCAATCAATCCAAAGTGTGAATTGAATTGGAGTTACGAATGGTTTGTGGTCCGACCGTTTAGACAATATAATAGAATAGGCTAGAGTAAGATTATGAAACACGTTACCTACTGACCAAAAAAAAAAAATGGAAGCGATGTTAGGTAAATGACCGATGTTAGGTAAATGACTGTTGCATTCTGATTACGCTACTCTCCCGAACAAACTTCTTCCACAAAATTTCAACAACTTCGTTGAAATCATAGAACAGATTGCTGTGAATTCATTATACTAATAGTAGTTTTCTGCTTTTAGTGCATCAATGATTAAAGCATTCATCATTCACCAAAAAATAGTTTGAAAATTTGTCTTTCTGCCATCTGGGATGGTTCATATCCTTAGCTTCCTTGCACTTCGTTGATTACACCAGAAGCAGAAACAGAGACCCACTGAAGAGGAGAAATGAGCGGAGCAGGGAAGGTGGTGGGCGTGACGGGAGCTTCGGGATACATAGCTTCATGGCTGGTAAAGCTGTTGCTTGAGCGTGGCTATACTGTCAAAGCTTCTGTTCGGGACCTCAGTAAGTCTTTCATGCTCTTTACTGCCATTCCATTGCCTAATAAATAAAGAGGGTGCACGATTTTGAGTTATTTGCTGTAACAAAATTCTGATAGTACCGCAGACAGTGCGTTTCCGGCAGTACAGATTTTCAAATTATTGTCACTCTCTCATCTGAGATTTTGAAAAAAACGGCATTAGTGTCTATTTTGGGTAAATATGCATTAGATTGTTGCAGATTAAGCAAGTAAATTAATCATCTTAAAATGGAATTAATGATTGAGAAGTGCTTGTGACTTCGAAGATCACAACTTATGTAACTTTGTTAACGTTTAATTGATTTATGCACGAATTTATGATTGATTTCGAGTATCTGACAAAGTTGGGGTATCCCTTCATCAAATGACGTTTGTTTTTTTCCGCATGATGGCACAGATGATCCAAAAAAGACAGAATTCTTGATGGCACTAGATGGAGCCAAGGAAAGACTTCACTTGTTTCAGGCAAACTTACTGGAAGAGGGATCCTTTGATGCATTAGTCGATGGATGTGAAGGCGTTTTTCATACTGCATCTCCAGTTCAATATTCAGTGAGCAATCCACAGGTACATTTTACGTGATGATCAAATCTTGATATTTTCATAATACAACTAATAGTTATCATTTGGCTATTAAAATTGGTCATTCTTGACATGCTTACGGTAATTGTTATGTGACTAATAAGTTACTAAGATGGTCTACTTCCTCTATGTTCAGCTACAAAATTGTTGTATACCATTCTTACTCTAAGAGTGAATAATTCTAGTTTCTCAGCAGCTATCTGGAAGTTGCCAAAAAAATGGTAATACTCATCTTTCAGGCTGCTCTGTTTCTGTGATTCTGCATTTTGGAATTCCTCAAGTAATTTACAGGAATTTGAAGACATAATTGATTTCTAGTAGTAGTTGGGATGAACAAAACTTCTAAAAAAGCTGTCACCATGAATATGTTGAAAAACGGAAAACAATTGGAGATTTCTCATGAAGCTGCGACATATGACATTAGAACAAGTATAGACTCAAGAGCATGATGCATATATTGAATCTAAAATGGTTTCCAGAGAGGTGATAACAGTCTTGTTATGCAATGACTTCATTCCTTTTTCATGGCATTAGAGCTTAAAGGAGCCGATAAAATTGCACAAATCTGCGATGACTTTACCCCCCCCCCCCCCTTTTTTAAAATTTTTTAGGCACAGCTATTGGATCCTGCAGTGAAGGGAACATTGAATGTGCTACAGTCTTGTGCAAGAGTTTCATCTATCAAAAGAGTGGTTTTAACATCTTCTATGGCGGCAGTTGTACACAATGGAGAATTGAAGGACGGTGTCATAGTTGATGAAAGTTGGTTTTCAGATCCTTTGTACTGTGAGGAGCACAAGGTGTGTCTATCAGCTATTTTCAGTTAAACTACCTGAGGAAATGCTTGTTGTTTGTTCAATTTGTTGATGGAAAACAGTGCAGTAGTCTGATTGGATGACAAAATTTTTCTGGTTGACTAAATATGTTCATGGAAGATAGTATTATCAGTAAGAAGGCTTAAGCATTAGAAACGTTCACGATAATTGGGTTCATAAAGGTTATTTGACAAAAGGCTTCGCAGTTAAATATTCATCACTCTGATAACACATTATCTCTGAAAAGCCTTTTACAAAAGATCCCTTAAGAGGATCACCTGTCACAGAACACACAAAATAGGATATGCAAGAACGAAAAGGAAATACAAATGAAAAGCACCTCAGCCTTAATGAGAAGAAGAAGTTACTTAACAAAAGATAAAATAAAGGAAACAAAAGAAATGAAATTTCCCAATTGCTAAGCAGTCTAACTATTTGATGATATCAACAAAATTAAAATGCTGATAGCAAGCAAAGGATTGACGGAAGACCAAAGGAATGTGTTTTGTAGATGAAAGAAATGTGGCATTAGATCCAAGCGAAAAAGTACTTTACTGTGGAATAGATATTGGAATGTTTACTTGAGAAGACTTAGTGACATGTGCACAGGGAAAAGGCCACAAGACACTAAAAAGGTCAGTTTTAGTTTTTATTTGTTGTCTGCTGGAATGCCAAGCAATCAAAACATTAAATTTAGTGAGTAATTTGCGATAATTGTCACCATTCGATGTCATTAACTGACATTTCCTGGATGGAGTTTTCCAGGAGAAAAAATAACCCTGGTATGTATACTTCTAACAAGCCCCATATCTCCCAACTAGAAGGATTTAGAAAATGTGACTGGATAGTCTCCCAAGTTATTTGAAAATATACCTTCTTTACTGTCCCACTCGAAGAATGTTTTCAACTGAAGCTAACCAATTTTTTCCCTTTTCAGTTGTGGTATCAACTATCAAAAATTTTGGCAGAGAATGCTGCTTGGAGATTCTCAAAGGAGCATGGTATTGACATGATTGCAATTAATCCAGGAGTGGCCATTGGTCCCATCTTGCAGCCTTCTCCCACCTCGAGTGCAGAAGTGATCTTGGACCTAGCAAATGGTATGTTGAGAATTATATGTAGATTGTTAAGCAGTCAATCTAAAGCAAATATAGTTGATCTTTCATACTTACAGCTTTATCATGCATTACAAGTTTCTTCTAATAATTGAAACAAAGTGGCAGTAGTTGAATCTGATGAAGATGTGAGTCTGCTCATTTTGTATTACAGCAAAATATATATTGCACGCAGAGGTATGCATTATTGGGCATCATATGCAATGAATTTATTTGATAATGTAATGCACACGAATACAAACATGTGAGCACATATGTCTAGTTGGTGTGTATCTGGTTATATTGTCTAAAGAGTTTGCTACGAAATTCTTCTTTGGAACTTTTGTGTCAGCATTTCTTAACTGCCAAAGATTTGGAATTCAAATATGAAATAGACAAAAGATTCTGCTTTAGTTATGAGACTTGTTTACTTTGAGGTAGCCCCTTAGGACTTGGAGGCATTTCATTTGAAGCATGGTTTTATTAGTTGAAAGACATCTTATAGCAGACAATGGAGGAATTGGAGCTGGTTATGGTGGCTTCTAAAGCTTTCTTACATGATAGAATAAGCAGTTTAATCATTTTATCCAGTACTATTTCATGTTGCGGTCTCTTGTCGCCACAGATTTTGCAAAAATGACCTGCCAATCTCCTTGGTGTCCATGACTTGATCATTTTCCTATGCAGACTCTTTTTGACTTACCAGGTTATTGACCTGATCTGGTATCTTACGTTTCGTCTTCTTTTATATAGTTGTTAGGTTGTAATTGAAATGTCCAGAAAAGATGAAGTGATATACTCATGTCACATAGAAATTTGTCTCTTTTGACTATTTTCACCTCCCTTCAAGTATCCTGTCTTTACAAGTAAAGATACTCGTCCTAGTGGTAAGATATGTTATTGTTTTAACTGGTGAATGCAGGAATTGAACCATTCCCTAATGCAGCTTTACCATGGGTTGATGTTAGAAACGTTGCATATGCACATATTTTTGCCTTCGAAATCCCTTCTGCCAGTGGAAGATATTGTGTAAATGAGAGATTTGCACACTGCTGTGACCTTATCAAGATTCTGACTGAACTTTTCCCCACTCTCCGATCACCAGATAAGTGAGTCCCGTTTTGTTCATTATGCCACATTGAGGTATTTGCATGCTTTAGCTGATTGCTTGCAGCTCCACAATATATCTCATCTTTAGGCCTAATCCTCGTTGATACATGGTGTTTTTGCTGTTAAGAATCAGCAGCTTCTTATCTGTATCCTTAATCCATTAAAATGTGAGATGGATGTTGGCAAACATTATTGCATAGTGATTAGTAAACTGCCTCACTTTGAAGAGTTCAAACAAATACCAGCATTATATATCACTCTTTAACTCTTTTCATTTCTGAAGTGGTTTTGACCTTTTGCAGATGTTCTAACAGCAGTAGTCCTCTAATTCTGCCGAAATTCAAAGCATCAAATGAGAAAGTAAAAGGTTTGGGAATTGAGTTCATTCCTTTGGAGGTGTGCCTCAAGGATGCTATCAAAAGCTTTAAAGAGAAGAATTTAGTTAGCCTTTGAACCATGGCATTCATGTACTGTCATCAAATTTGTTTATAACCAAGTTTGGAAAACATACAATTCCAGCAACTAGAGGTTTTTTCTGTCTGCTTCACTGATGATTTTTCGGCTGTTACGCAGAAAAGCTATGGTGATATATATATGTATGTATGTATATATTTAAAAAAGAACAAGAACAGAACATGTATGAACATGAATAAGAAGGGCTGTTTCTTAAGCAATCAGTAATATGGCTAGGAATTTGTTGGGACAGCCGAATTAATCAAAAAGACTATTCAGCATATCTGAGTAGATAATAAAAGCATAGAACCTCATAATTGACCTTTTCCTCAAATTTCGTCTTGTGATCTTTTTGGCACGGTTTGAGTTGTTTATGTATACCATTTTCATGGCCAATTTGAGATTGCTCTTAGAAATCTCAGAATTTCTTCTCTTTTGGGATTAAATTGATCAGTAGTTTTAATTTTTTAAGCTCTGAAAATTCTTATGCTTAAATAAAAATTTTGGCTCACAGTAAAACAAAAAATCAAATGTCCCGTCTTTCCTAGCTATATTTTTGTCCTGTCATACTTATTTGTACAAATTCATGATTTATTGCTTGTTACAAAATAAGAGCAACTTTAGAACAGAGCAACGATTAGTTGGGCAGATTTCAATAGTCATTTATGCATTTCTTTTTTTTTTCAATATGTTTTTTTTTTTCAGGTTTTTCCCAATCAAACTTGGTTTTTGGTTAGGGTTGACCAGGTCAAATGCCCTGCGGTTCAACTGCTAGTTTTTTATTCAACCGGTTAAACCAATTGTTTCGGTCCGAAATTTTAAAACACTCGTGCTTAGCCAAACCACCACCTACTAGACATAGAAAATTAAGGAAAAGAGAAGGTCAGAAAAGAAGATGAGGAGGTTAAAAATGAAGAAGAATGAAAAGGGAAGCATAGGAAGGTGGAGGAGAAAAAGAGGGCAAATGAAGGTAAAGGAGAAAAGAGTTGAGGCGGGAACAAAGAAGAAAACAGAGAAAAAAGATGATGCTGAGGGGAAAGGGGATACAAGAGTAGATGATATTGAGGAAGAGAGAACAGAGGATGATTAAGTTTTAAATTTTAGGGTAATGTTTTGCTAATAAGGGCTTAAAAGCTTTTAATTTTTTTTTCAGAATTTTTCCCATCTTTGTTGATAATTATCATTTTGCTATTTGAATATCAAATTTTTTCAAATAATATTTCGCTTGCGGGGGCTTACATTCAATGTCTCAAGACCCCTTTTGAAACATACTTTCTTCCTAGATCAAATGAGTTAGAGATTAAATAGGATTTGATACTGGGAAGTTCCTTTTTCTTTAGAATTTAGTTCTGTTCCACTTATAGGAAGTAGGTTAGAAGTTTATTTGTACTGTTTCCAGAGAGAATTGAGGCGAACTACCAGTGGTTTATTAAGTGTGCGTTTGATAAATCTGAAGTCTGAAAACTGAAATTTGAAATTTGAATCCATTAAATTATTGAATCGTTAAGTATTAAATCTAATACATTTGAGTACATATCACATTCAGTGATAAGTGAATAGTTTATCACTTAATTTTGATAACAAATTCTGTATAAAAAATTCAGTGACACTTAATTAATTTAGATGTCTAATTTTCCATTATCAAATGATCTGAATATATTAAGATCTGAATCAATTAAATTTAAGTGCTGAATTGGGTTAAGACTATTTAATTCCTAGAAGTTAATTTGCAAATAAAAAAAAAAGAAACCATTTTTGGCAATTTATTATTATTATAGCTTGTATTGGTAATTTTTTAAAAGTTTTGAATGTAATTGGTGTATACATCTTAATAACTTACCATTTGAGATTGATTGATTTTTCCAAATATACTTTCTTGTCCTCAAATATTTCTCAACTAAAATCATATTATTGATCCAATTGATGGGATCCTAACCGACCAAACTTGTCAAAAGCAAGATTTTTTCCGTTTGAAGGATAAAGACAATGGTTCAAACCCCATACCGTGCAATTAAAAGAAATTCAAGGGCGTGTGGTTTGGTAAGTAGTATAAGTAGTAAAAATAGAAAATTGTGAGGACCCTAAGGTAGGAGTGTTTGGATTCTTCATTTTCTTTCAATCTTAAACAATTGCAGTCAATCTTTTATATATATATATATATATAGAGAGAGAGAGAGAGAGAGAGAGAGATAATAAAAAAGAGAAAGAATTAAATTCTTTATTCATTGATGTCTAACACATTTTCAATAGACTTATTTTTACTGATGACAACTAAGACCTTCACTGGTTTTTTTTTTTTTTTGAATTAATATACCAATACTTGGGTAAACAACCACAAATATACAGTGTAGGAATGCAAAAGCACTAGGTCATGTTTTCACATCATATATTCTTACCCAGAAGCCAAGTGATTTTGAGACGTTACAGCTAGCCTGGAATGCTAAAGCTTAATTAACCGTCCCCCCGCCCAACCAACAACAAAAAAAAGAAATGCATACACGACTATTAATATCTGCATTACTAATCATGCAGATTTTGTAATCTCGAAACAATCATAAATTTTGACCCAAAAAAAAATCATAAAGTGTTCTATAGTTAAATACATTGATACTGGTCCTGATCCTATTTTCAAGTTGCTCTCATTTTGTAACAAGCAATAAATCAAGAGTTTTTGTAACGTTTGCTCGGTCACTCATTAATACACTTAACATTCACACATGTTAGTAATTATTATCTTTCTTTGCATTTATATACTTTCTCTGTTAATCTTACCTACCTAATCTTGTATTTATTTACTTTCCCTAATTAATCTTACATTTTCAAAAATATGACACATAAAATATATTTTAACGAGTACTCGAGCACCGGTTAGACAGACATTCATACAAACAAGTTTGACAATAACTAGGACAAAAATTAATTTATTTTTGGAAAGACTTGACCTTTATTTCTGTCTTAGTGTGACTGAAAATTTTGTTTCAGCATTAGAATTTTTCAAAGCTCAAAAAATTAAAAATATTGCTCAAAATTACCAAAAAGATTACAATAAAATTTAAGGAAATGGCCAATAATGAGGTGCTATGCTTTTATTATCTATTTAGATATACCTACAAGTCTTTTTGAACCCCAATTGATAATCCAATTCAGCACTTAAATTTAATCGATTTAGATCTTAACATGTTCACATGCGTTTGATGACCAAAACTAGAACATCTGAATTAAATAAATGGTTCTGAATTTCTTAGGCAAAATTTGCTTCAAAAAATAAGTGATGAGTTATTCACTCATCACTTAATTAATGTGATGTACAGTTAAATGTATCAGATTTAGTACATAATGATACACTAACTTCATGGATTCGGATTTCAGATTTTAGACTTCAATTTCATCAAATGCACAAGTGAGCTATCCCAACAAATTTGGAGACATACAGATTGTTCCCTTGTGGAGCAACACTTTCTATTCATGTTCATACCTGTTCTGTTCTTTTTATTTACAATTTAGCTACTTTATATATAATCTGAATCGCGTACCTTGTACAAACAAGAATGAGAAGTTTGAAATTGTATGTTTTCCAAACTTGGATATAAACAATTTCAAGTTGATGACAGTACATGAATGCCATGATTCAAAGGCTAACTAATTTCATCTCTATGAAGCTTTCGATAGTATCCTTGAGGCTCACCTCCAAAGGCATGAACTCAATGCCCAAACCTTTTACTTTTTCATTTGATACATCATATTTCAGCTGAATTAGGGGACTGCCATTAGAATATCTGCAAAAGATTAAAACCATTTCAGAACAGGAAAAAAATGAGGTAAAAGTGAGAATGCAGGTATTGGATTGAACTCTTCAAAGTGTGGCAGTTTACTAATTGCTATCCAATGTTGCCAAGGTCCATCTTGCACTCTATTGGATTAGGAAACAGAGAAGAAGCTAATGATTCTTAACAGCAAAAACATCACGCATCAACTAGGATTAGGATTAAGGCCTACAAAATTATCAGAAATCAGTCCCTTGATACTATTAAAATGGTACAGAAGGATGCAGTATTCTTTATCATGTTGGGAAAGAAGCCAAAAGATGAGATACATTTTGGAGCTGCAAGCAATCAGCTAAAGCATGCAAAGACGCCAGTGTGGCCTAAGGGAGCAGGAAAACCCGACTCACTTATCTGGCAACTGGAGAGTTGGGAAGAGTTCAGTCAGAATCCTGATAAGCTCACAGCAGCCTGCAGTTCTCTCAACTACGCAATATCTTCCACTGGCAGAAGCGATTTCAAAGGCAACAATATGTGAATATGCAACATCTCTAACATCAACCCATGGTATAACCATATTAGGGAATGGGTCAATTCCTGCATTCGACAGTAAAAGGGATAACATCTCTTACCACATTGACGAGTATCATTACTTGTAAAGTCAGGATACTTAAAGAGAGATGTAAATAGTCAAATGTGACAAATTTCTATTTAACATGAAGTATTTCACTTCATTTTTCTGGACATTTTACAACCCAAAAACTATATAAAAGAAGAGGGAACGTGAGAAATCAGGTCAGGTAAATAACGCCGTAGTCTGAGAGAGTCTGCATGGGAAAATGATCAAGTCATGAACACCAAGCAGATTGGCGGGCAACTTATGCAAAATCTGCAGAGACTAGAGACCACAACGAAATAGTACTGAATAAAATGCTCAACTGGTAACTCTATCTTGTAAGAAAGCTTTAGAAGGCACCACAACAAGCTCCAATTCCTATATCGTCTGCTATAAGAAGTCTTTCAACTACCAAACTGTCTTTCAAATGAAAAGCCTCCAAGTCCTGTGCGACTACCTCAAAGTAAATAATTCGTATAACTAAAGCAGATATTTTTGTTTAATTCATATTGAACTTCCAAAGCTTTGGCAGTGAAGATATGCTGACACAGATAAGTTCCAAAGAAGAATTTGGTAGGAAGCTCTTTAGAGAATATAATTGTATACTCAGCAACTAGACATATGCGCTCACCTGTTTGTATTCATGTGCATTAAATAATCAAATAAAAGGAGTTGAAATGATTACATATGATGCCCAATAATGCATACCCATTGTGTGCAATGTATATTTTTTCTGTAATACAAAATGAGCAGGCTCACAACTTCACCAGCGTCAACCAAGGCTTCTTTGTTTTAATTGTGTACAAGAAACTTTCTGTAGATTGACTACTTAACAATATGATAAATTTCTTAACATACCATTTACCAGGCTCA